ATGCGGGACTCGATCCCGGGACTCCAGGATCATGACCTGAGCCGAAGGCAGTCGCTTAACCAACTGAGCCACCCAGGCGCCCAAGTGGAGAACTTTAATTGCCTTGTGGATCATACAGTTTGGTCACCATGTTTGTTGCTAATTCTCATGGACTTTGCTCAGATCTTGTTAACCAGTGTGTGAGGCTGTCATCCTTATTCTTCTAGAAAGACACCTGTCAGTTTCCCATCTCATCAGCAAAACAGTGAAGAACTACGAAGGTTATGAAATTGCAATATGCTTGCTAGCCACCAAATTAGCCTGCCATACTTTCACGGACATTTTGAAGAAAGGAGTCTCCTGGGTCAGAAACAAAACAAGCCTATTATTCACAGAAGTAGCAGTGGCCAAAATGACAGTGTTTCTCTTGTTTCCTCAAGCCCCACTTCCCACAGAGTGAGGTGGCCTAGGTGATGCACAGTGTGTTATGCTGTAGAACAGGAGCCCTTAGCTTGGGGCATCTGAATCTTCTCTAATAGTCAGGAAGCAAGTCTGCCGTTTGCTCCACAGGAGGAGAGAGTTTCAGGGCTGCAAGCAACCTTTGCTTGTGTTCTTCCAAGGCTTTTTGTAATATAAACAGCTTTGAGAAGATTGTGTACCATTAAGGACAATTAACGTCTTCCTTAGAAGACTTGCAGAAACACAAAGAGACCCATGGAGAATGATCGCTCATCGTCAGCATATGTAGACTTCTCTTACCTGATTTGATCTTGTGATTCCCTCTTTGTAAGGGCATTGTCTTATAGTGGGGGAAGCAGTCAGGTGCCAGGGAAGATTTTGAGGAGAAAGTGACCTCTAAGCTGAATGAAAAGAAAAAGTGGGAATTACAAGTATTTTTTTTTTTTTTAAGATTTTTATTTATTGGACAGAGAGAGCACAAGCAGGGGGAGTGGCAGGAAGAGGGAGAGGGAGAAGAAGGCTTCCCGCGGAGCAGGGACCCTGATGCGGGACTCGATCCCAGGACCCCGGGATCATGACCCGAGCCAAAAGCAGACGCCTAACCGACTGAGCCACCCAGACACCTCGGGAATTACAAGTATTAATAAACTTTGAAGTCTTTCTCATATTGCAGTACCTCCTTTGTTGTTATTTTATGGCCAGAGAATCGAAAGCTTGAAAGATTACTGGAAACAGTCACAGGAAACATGATGGAGGATAAAGTCTTTCTCGCCTTTTTGTTTTGAATAGCAATTTTAATTGCCATAATGATTAAAAAAAATCATTTCAATGAAAATTTAAAATACTCTGGAAAAGCAGAAGAATTGTACAACGGTACAGCCACATACCCATCACCTAAATTTTACTGTATTTGATTTATTACCTATCTGTCTAAATCTCTATCTCTCTGTTCATTTACGAATAAATCCTTTTTGATGCATTTCAAAGTAAGCTGCAGGACTCAATACATTTCACGCCTAAACACTTCAGGATATGTATAATTGATGAGAGAATTCAATATTTTCAGGTTTTTTCTAAGGGACATTGTTTACATAGAGTGAAGTGCACACATAACAAGTATGCAACTTGATGAACCCTTGGGAAGTGCATATATTTGTGTCACCCTAAATCCTATCAAAAAATAGAATATTAAGCTCACCCCTGAAAGTAGACTCATGTCCTTTTGCATGCAATTGATCCCCACCCTCACTACTGTAGTGATCTTTTTAAACTGTAGACTAGTTTTGTCTGTTTTAAAACTTCATATAACTGTAACTACACAGTGTATATAGTATTTTGTGTAAGATTTCTTTCACTCAGAAAAATGTTTTTGAGATTTATCTACCCTGTGTTAATCAGCGGTAGATTCCTTTTTATGCAGGAATAGCATTCTGTTGTATGGATATGTCAAAATTTGTTCAGCCATTCTCTTATTGATGAATACTTGGGCTATTTTTCATATTTAGCTATGAACGAAGCTGCTATTAATATCATTGGACAAGTCTTACTGTGTGTCCCCTTTAAGAATTTTGTTATGCCTGGCTCTGTGGAGAAAAAATGGTTGTAAGTTTCTTAACTGTTATGTCATTTAAGGTTTGCTTTATCTTATATATGCTTACTCCTGTCCTAAAGGTCAGAACTTATTTGGGATTTTCCTCCCAATACACTGCACTTACCAGGTTTTATTTATGGATTTACTTTTCTTGACTTTTCTCAGCAACTTTAAAAATGTATCTTCAGGGTTTTTTGTTTGTTTGTTTTCTTTGTTCGTTCTACCATCATTCATGGGATACTATCTGATAGACACTCTGCCCGGTTTTGGTGCTATGTCAAATTAGATAGAGTTTCTTATGTCAGAGACTATCTAGTTTATTAGGGCATGGCACATGCACATCATTCACAGACACTTACCATCATCCATTGTGACGAGCACAGAGAAGGGAGTGCAATAAGGTAGTGACAGGTAAAGAGAAGCTTCTGGGAAAAGTGGGCATTTGAGTAAATTCTTGAATTTAGAACTCAGAAAAATAATTTGTATGGCATCTTTATTTAATGTTTGAGTGAACTGATACCTAGAGAGGTTCCCTTATTTGTCTAAGAGAAGTTTAGGTAGGAGTTAAAAACCCATCTCCTGAGTTCCAATCCAGTGTTTTCCTTTCTGAAATGTGGCATTTCAATACATTTGCATAAGTGTTGACAGCCTACCATGTACTAGGCCTGGAGTCAAGTTTTGGGAATTTAAAAAATGAATAAGCTACAATTCTTGTCATCTGTAAGTCTCAGTTAGTGGTGCTAAGTACACACACACACACACACACACAAATGTGTAAGTACATATATATCCCACCATCTCAATAATAGCAAAATCCCATGTGAACAAAGAGGACACAGCATCTAAAGCCCTATGACGCTAACATGATTTTATAAAGTGTTTTCTTTCAAATCGCACCTTGAGGATCACCAACAGGCCTCTGTCCCTTCTCCCCTCAGGAACATATTGAATCAAATCTTCTCAAGGAAAGACCATAAAAATCTCAGATTTCCTTTTTAGTTTATTGCTGGTACCCTGAAGCTCTTTCCCATAATACACTGTAAGTTCCTTGAGGACAGACATTTTGTATCCCTAAAGTCTAGTCCTGTTCCTGCAGTGCACTGGGGCTTAGTAAACATTGGAATTATCAACAGTTATTTCAATAAAGTGAGGTCTGGTCAACATGAGGCTCCAGGCAAACTTCTTCAGAGGGATCGAGTGAGAGCACTGAGGAGATGCACGGTCTGCCCTCGCGGGGGCATGTCATCTCAGCGCAGGCAAGGAAAAGTGAGATGGTTGGTGTTCGTGTGGTGACGTTTTTCCTATACTCCTTTCCCTGTAGCCCAAAAGCTTGTCTGAAGTCTTGGACTTCTCCATTCAAATGAGAGAAAGCACAAAAGTGGCCTTATTCTTTCTGACAGATACTCAGGGTCTGCTCACTTTTATTTTCTCATTTCACTTCTCTACTTCAGACATGCATCTGTTTGCACCTAGGATTGGTCCACCTCCTATTTCCTTTATTTTAAAAAGAATCCTAGTTCTCTTCATTGGTATTCTCTTTGAAAGCATAGTACCCCCCACTCCATTTCAGCAGACTCCACAGAAAGTTTTTTCTGACTTTCACAGTGAAACATTGGGAGAATTCTCTTAATTCTCTTTTTCCCCATTAAAGAAGTGCTTATTTTAATAGGCTGCATTTTGAATGTAATATGTAACAAAAGCCAGCAATGATGTATCTGAGTTAAAATTTTGATTTATTATCTAAGATGATTTGTTTTTAATATCTTTAGAAGGTATATACCCAAAAGATTTTCCTAAAACATGTCAACGAACCCAAATGATCTTATGTCTTACTGGGGTCCTCATTATTTCTGCTGTCCTTCTTCTTACTAGGTATCCTATGTTATCTTGCGAATATGTAGCTTCTGTCAGTCCTCTTTTGTCCAAAATTCTTATGGCAAGGTCATCTGTTTCAGCACCCAGGTCAGATATCCTCTTAAGAAGGGTCTGGTCTCAGTGGTTTCTTCACAAAAATTTGTGAAGCTTTATTTTTTGGTATCTATTGCGATCATGTGTTTGCTTCTATTTTGGATTGTCTGTCTTATCTCCTGGATGTCAAAAGCATCCTTCAAGGTAGGCATGCTATCTGTTTTCTATCTGCCACTCTCCTTTAAATGTAAAATCCTAATCACAACTGGCATGTATGTAGATTAAAATGATTTCCAGAACTTTCCTTCTGGATGCATAAGATCCTAAAATCTTAGTGGAATTTGAATGAGTTCATTTTGTTTCAATATTTTTTTTCTTCATAGGAAAAAGAAGACCATTTTGAATCTGTTCAGCTGAAATCCTCAAGATCCCCAAATATATGAAAAGACAGTGCTGTAGACTTCAGACTAATGAACAAAGAAACCTGATCTCTAGTTCTACAGGACCGTAGCTTAGATCCTGTCTTTGTATCCCGGCACGTTGGTGATTTCACAGAGGAGGGCCATGCCGCTGAAAAGGGAAGGAGGTTGAAACGTTTGATTGCCTTATCACATGGTCAAGTATTTTGCCAAAAATAGGAAAGCAAATGGCTTGGGTCTCAACTGAAGATGAAGCTCAACTCAGGAAGAGATTTATCTGTAAATAGACATAACTGAAAACCAAGGTTAAGCCCCCCAGTGCACTGCTGATGCATGCCATATAATTAATGGGTAACTTTTATTCTTTATAACTTCTACATAAAAAGTGTGCTTTGGAGGGCAGATGTGAGCATATGCATTGTGATTCTATTTATGTCTTTTCTTTATAGTTTGGGGGAAGATTTGAAAAATTTTAAGGTATAGTTTTTTCCCATTATTTTCCTGACAGACCTTAAAACATCTTTTCTATTAAAAAATGATGAACAAAAGAAGACAATAAATTTTTCATTTTTCCATAGGGTCTTTCTTGATTTCAGAAGCCTAAGTAAGCAGTAACTTTTCAGGAAGAATAAACATGTAAACATGTGCTTGGGTTACCTAAACTTAATTCGCCTTTGAAATTTCATCCTTGTTGGAACTGGTAAGAAGGGCTTGACTGAAAGAGTTGAAGGAGTATTAAAAAAAAAAAAAAAAGGCAAAGAGAATCCTGTCTTTCCATTAAAACAAACAAGCTCATGGTATTGTGGAAATCAAATGGCTTAACACCATTTATGTAATGCTTGAAGTATAATTTCAAATGAGTAAGAAAGCTTGTTTATCAAATCACATGCAAAATCAAGAAGAAGGAAGTGGGATGGCTTGTGTATAAGTACACATAACTGTGCAAAGGTATTGGGATAATTTCATGGTTTGCGGAAAATGGCAGTGGGATATTGGCCCTATGTCAAGCATCAAAGTTATATGGTTATTTTTCTGCTAAGACATTGAGGATTATGACTTCCATAGAAGTTTTTCTTTTTGAGTATATAAGGCAGGAACTCAATTTTGGGAAATTGCATCTAACTGTATTCATATTAAGAATGTGGTTGTACCATAAGTAGTTAGGAAATACGTGTTGTTCTTATCTCAAAAGTGATCCAGGTAATTGTGATACTTCCTCTCACGGATGGATTCCTAGAATTAGCACGACTTCAATATTATCTGTTGAAAGAAGTTTGAATGAAGTTGGATCTGACTAATTGTGTGTAAACCTTTATTGTTTCAGAACTGGGAAAGAGGGGAGTTTACTGACCATTGATGAACTAAGGTGCTCTGGTTTGCTTTCAATAAACAGTAATCTTTGTAGATCTTAATCTAGATTTTTTTAAAAAGACTGGTGATTGCCTGAGAGGCAGGCCATAAGGGCAGGGTCTGTGAAAGTTTTGTCCCAAGTCTTTCGATGAGGTATGACTTGTAACTTTTGATTCGGCAGGTAATGTCTTTATTTTTGTGGAAAGTGGGGGAAAAATAAATAATTGCAGTTTTCCACTGGTGGGTAAAACACTGAACCATCCTGTTATTGTTGAACGAATGTTCCTTTTGTGTACATCTTTGCTGTGGGATTCATGAGTATAGGTGAGGTTGCCATGGTTTTATTGTTTGTCGTGAAATTCAGGGAGGGCATCACTTAGCATCAACTTTTTTTCAAGTTCAATTTCCTAAATCTTGTTTTTTAATTAGAAATTATTACAATAAATTATTTTGGCATTGCTCACAATTATCCTGGTAACTGTGCTCTGATGAGCCTTTCCCCCTCTTGATCAAAATTTAAACAGAAGAATGACAATACATTGGACATGCACCTCTTCAGAGGAGCCCTGGCAAAGGTGTCCAGGCTGGACAGATTCAGGAGGTTGCACATAGTCACCTGTCACCTCTCTTCATCTTCGGCTGTGTTCCACGTGTATATACCAAGCCACAGAGATAATTGGGAGTTGCTCCCAGGTGGCTTCTTTCTTCTCCTGTCACTGAACTAAAATCTCTGACATGTCAAAAAATGCCTTAAATTTTAATGAACTCTCTGAAAATGTATTTGGTATTGAAGAATTTATTTTATCTCTAATTTTAGATATAAAATAGATTTTGTCAGCTCAGTCCCATCTTTGGAAAGGAGCTGCCTTTCCCCTTTCCCCAGTGATTTGTCATTTTATTCTGAGCGCTGAAGGAGTATGACAGAAAGAATATCAGGAAAATATTCAGACCAATCTTGGCTATAAAATTCACTGTAATTTTATGTCTTGTCTTTGCAGAGCTTAGTGGAATGTTGAAAGGCATAAACAAATTAATCATGTTTCTGTGACTTTTAGTAGACATTTGTTGTTTCTTTCCCCTCATAAATGGTAGAAGAAGAAGTTATAGGTCATTTTTCTAAAAGGCACAGGTTTTGAAGCCTTAAATACTACATTAAGTCCATTGTTGCCTATAATATCTCCTAGCACTCTGTCAAAACATATTTAAATTGGTTTTCCACTGGATGAGACCATGTCATCTATGGATAAATTACATTATGCCATTTAACAATGTTGAGCAATTTGATATGTGTCCACTAGATTTAAAAGACTGAATTTTATTCTTGTTGACTTTTCCCCTTTTTGGTTACTAGTAAATCAAGTCCTTTCCAGGATTAAAAATGTTTCATAGTATTTTTGTGTAGAGTTTTGTGATTATTTTCTTCCCAAGGAGAAAAGATGGTTTAATGGTTATATGGAATAATTGCTTGGGTCCAATCATTTATGAACCAGACTGTCCAGATTCCCAGGTAATGGGTCATGATTGTGATTCTTCAAGACCAATTGGGTCAACTGTCATTTGACATCTGTCAATAGAACTACTTCCTATGGCTCATGGTCATTCCTAATAGAAGGCTAATGTGCCGATCATTTCTCTCTTCCTCATGAAAGTAAATTTCCTGGAAGTTGGGGTGGGAAGATGACTTCACTGGCAAGGTTAAAGTCAGTGTATTGCTCACATTTATCTTTTTTAAACAGAAGATATATAGAGTAGGTCTTCCTCTTGAGAGAAATTAAAATATCCTCACATCTCTTTTATCATAACTATGGATGTTATCTCATATTTACAGGACCAAGCCCTA